CATTATTATTCCTATGTTTTCCTAAATACATTCACACTGGTATTGGAGTAATAGCCAAACTTATACAAATTAAGGAAAATTACGTGGTCAACGGCGGCCATTGTAGCTTACAGTTCCAGGCTACGCCTAAAGATTGGTTATGGAATCACTGAATACAAAGGAAATTAACTTTCTAACTCATAGCGGTGTTGTAAGCGCAATTTTAGGGTGTAGGGGAGGACAGATAGGCCGAATTCCGAGTCGCAAAAAGGGATTATTGCACTTTCGCATGATCCGAACACACGCTCCTAGTTAACTGTGCTGAGTCCAGCGCCTCTACACCGCAAATAGTCATTTCGACTGGCGGGCGATTCATTCACACCTATTTGCCAAAATAATATATCTCCGAAGGGGCGTAGCCGTCTGTAACCTCATAGATGCGAGGACAGTCTGACTGGTACCTACTGTCAGGTAAATGTAACCAAACCCCCGGTAGTGTTTACTAAACTGACCAATCGCCTACCACGCTTTCCTGGTCTCTCACAACATCAACAGGTCACGAGACTGGCACTGGCCGGTTTGACCTGAATATCCCATTTTACTCCGAAAGTGCTCTTATGTGCTCCTCTAGGCAGTTGCATGTTGCGGCCGACGCAGCGTGAACCCGTGACTCAACTGGTAACGACCTACTGGACACAAGCTCGAGTTCGGTTCCTCTTGGTTGAAAATGAGATAGAGAGCGAAAATCGGGCCAAAAATTGGTTATTCCCCATCCCTCCTTTCTATCTAGTCGATTTTTTCTCCCAAGTACCTGAACATGCGATCAAGCAAGATTTGTTTTCCGCCCTATGGGGCGCACTGTGAATGAATAATTTACTTTCGAACTTCTTTCTTACATATAAGGCGCATTAGGGGAAATAACACAGTCAGAAAAATCAGGCTGGGTTATAAATTGCACTCTAGTTTGTTGAGAAAATTAAAGCCTTTCAAGCGCGCCTTATAGTCCAGAAAATACGACAGTAGACCAAATCGGTATCTCACGATTTCAGGCAAATTTTCGCATCCCGGTCCC